ACAATTTCTGTACAATGACTTCAGGTGGGATTGGGGGATCCGCAAGGGGTTTAGATAACAACCAAGTGGACCTAAACCCAACCAACCCTGAAGGTGCTCCTGTCTCAGTTGGTACTGTTGGATTAACTACACAAATGAATGTTACCAATCTGCGTGTCAAAGGCTTACTGTCCGAATGTGGGCCAGCTCTAACCAGTGAGCTATCCAGTGGACGGTCCAAAAGTGATGTTAAGAAGATAATCTTATACTAAAACACTACAACAGCCATTCTGATCAAGTTACATTTTTCCAGCCTCGAATAGGTAACATCCTCGTTATGGCTTGGCGTACCACAAGGAAGTGAGGAAGACTGCTCAACAGAAACTTTACTGTGCTTTTCTTTTACTTTGCCAGACTCTTTCCTATCAGCCATCTTTATCTATCATTCAGTATCTACAGCACGAAAGGTTGCATCATTTGTGATATGTCTCCTTTCTGCAACACTGTTGAGGTATAAATAATATATCTGTCCCTTCTTCATCTCTCCTTCACCCATCTCCCACCACTTTCCTTTAACTGGGACCAAGAGCTTTGTCCATTTTATCTCAGCAAATCACCTGAGTGTACTCATGGCTGAAAGGGCGATCTCAGGGATGTAAGCCAAAGACGACAATAACCTGAATAAAATTCCAGTTTGCTTTTTTTTTGCTGACTGTATTCCCGTTTCATTCCCCAAAACTGGTGTAATGTGAGAGTAGATTGAGAAGTTTTAGTCAAAGTGAGGCTGAGCTCACTGATGTGACAAGCCTTTTGCCATTCCCAAATATCCTGGAAAGCCTGTCACAACCTTGACATCCAGACACACACTAGCTTTCATTGGGAAAAATGTCGGTCCTATTCTAAAAAGATACATTCCATTTAAATAGAATGACACTTGCTCTAGCATGAAATTAAAACTTAAAATTAAACTCATTTGATTTCAAAGTAACTTTAAATACATTTTCTCTGTCCCTCTCTGTATAGGGAGAGCCACAGAGTTGCTATTATCATAAAACGGTAAATGGTAAAAAAAACTGTAAAAAATTGACTGCATTTACATAGTGCTTTTTCCAGTCACTTTTTCCAGTTGCCCAACATTACTTTGGCAGAGGTAAATGCTTGTGACAGTAAAAGGGTGGATGGAAGGGTCATCTCCATTATCTCCAAACCCACATACTAACACACAATCTGACAGATCACACGCCTTTTTAAAAATAATTATGCATGTCATTTGCATCATGAAAGACTAACTATCACTCACTCCAATCTGATGGAAATCTATCCACCTCACTTTTTGCATCACACCACTTCCTGCATTGGTACAGAGCATTAGCATTGGCCATAAATTAGCAAACATTATTCCTATATGAGTTCAATGTTTAGGTATATTAGGTATAGCGCTTTTCCTATAAAAAAGAAAAATATTGGTTATTGAAGGTCTTTTATTGACATGAATCTATTCAATAGAAATGTTCTATATTTCAGCTCTAGCTTTTAAATGATCTTTGACACATGTTTAATTTGAAATACAAATCTAGTCAGCCACAGTTTTTTCACCAAAATCTGACCATGTGATGGGCAGTGATGGAAAAAGTATTTAGATTCTTTACTTGAGTATAAGTACTAATAGCACGTATAAGTTAAAGTACTGGATGGAGAATGGTACTCAAATATGTAAGTACGATAAGGAAAATGTACTTGAAAGTAGAATTAAGTGTATTCATTGCAACAACAAAAAAATTCTTAAAGATATTTAAATATTTTACAATTTCTTAAAGCCAAAGCAGAAAATCTTCACATTTGAGAATCTTGATTTATTAGACTAAAAAGTACAAAATTGGCTTTCAAAATGTAGCAGAGGAAAATGATTTTGGGTCGGGTTAAGAACAGGTACCTCAAATGTGTCCTTAGAGGTGACTTATCATGCAAAATGCACTTTTGTACGTCTTTTATACATGAATATGTGTCCCCGGTGTGTCAGGGAACTCACCAAGTGTCAGAAAACANTGAATAACGACTATATAATCATATAAGAATAAAACACGGAGGACGGAGCCTCTCTTTTCCTCCCCCTCTTCTGAGAGCCCAGCAGCTGAGAGCACACTCTCCTCAGAGTGTGCTCTCAGCTGCTGGGCTCTCAGAAGAGGGGGAGGAAAAGAGAGGCTCCGTCCTCCGTGTTTTATTCTTATATGATTATATAGTCGTTATTCATTTGTTTTAAAGCTCAATAATTAACAAAGAAGACCTTTGACCGGCACTTTTCTAATTTTGTCCGGAAGATTTAAACTTTGACGGACATCTAACTGAAACTCTGCTGCACGGTCCCCTCGTCCGTTGGAAGAGGCGGAGAGGTGGGTGTTTGTCATCTGCTGGTGGACTACCGGAGAGATTCACAGCGGGAGCAAACGCTTGCCTCGGGGAGGGAGAAAAAGAGCCACAGCGGAGAATAATCAGAAGGGCAACCATGCACGGGAAGTCTTCTTCGCTGCTTTTGTGGCAGACTACAGCGCCACTTACAGGCCTGGCATATGTACTACAGCGTTTCCAGCGCTTTCGAGAGGGCTCGTGTGAACGGACATGTCTCGTGTGAACGGACACTATTCCGGGCTGACGTCAGCTCGGATGGAATCTGTATCCGCTCGTTGTAGCCCCGTTTTTAAAAGATTTGGGTACGGAGGAAAAGAGAGGTAACTTTTATTTTCTGACGCTGCGTGAGTTCCCCGACACACCGGGGACACATGTTTATGTATAAAAGACATCACAAAGTGCATTTTGCAGGATAGGTCCCCTTTAAAGTATTCTATGTGCACTGAGTATTGTACACAATATTCCACATCCTTTAAAGTTTTCTATTCATTTTTGGTTCAAGTACACTCTTTATACCGGAGGCCCATGTTCTGCATGCATGTTAGGGTATAGAAAAGTATGCAGACAACCTGGGGGGGCTTCAGATGTTTCAGGGGGGGCTTCAGATGTTTCAGGGGGGGCTTCAGATGTTTCAGGGGGGGCTTCAGATGTCTCAGGGGGGATCACTGCTTCAACGTCAGCGGCCGGAGGGCTCGGCTCTTCTGATGAAGGGGCTGCTTCAGGTTCTGGCTCAGGGACGGCTGACAGAGAAATGATCAGAATAACAAACATTAGCTATGACATTATTAGTTCAGGGCTCGACATTATAAATGGCCCGCTGGCCCGGAAGCACTATTTAGACACCCCGGGCCAGCATAACGTACTTTCCGCTTGCCCGCTCGGGCCACTAAAAATATTGCTTTAAAAAAAAGAATTATCCTGTGGTATTGGTATTTTGACTTGCAATTTAGTTAAATTGTTTCGTTTATTAACGCTACAACATAGCGTTTTGTGAGTCGGTTGTCGTTGTAGGGTGAAAAGCAAAGAGCTGTTTGCTGCGGAGCGGAGCGCGAGCAGGCTCCCGTGAGCGCGAGCAGGCTCCCGTGAGCGGGAGCGCGCTCCTTCACTACAGACTATCGCGCCACCTAACCATTCGCCATTAATGTTTTTAATACCAGCGGTAACCGGCCAAGCGCCGGGCAAAAAACAATCTTCAAATAAAAGATAGTCACCGGAGGAGTTAAAGGAGAGTGACAGGGAGTATGAGAAGAAGAGGGAGAGAACGTTTCAGCCAGCTTGATCGATGGAGTTGGCTTATAGTGCAGTGACGCGTCCTAAAACCCTTTTATAATCTATCGATTAGATTTATGATTTGAAAATTATAAAAGTAGGGTAACAAAACGTGGAGATTATCCGGCTGAACAAAACGTGCGTTTATCAAACAGGTTTGTTTTCCACAGACCTTATTTCCAGCTATTTTCCAAAACCCTGTGGAGAAATCCCATTGCTTTTTGTCGAGGGAACCAGCGGCTTACTTCCTGGTTTTATGACGCGTCACTGCACCTCTCAATATGATGCCAATATAAACAAGGTCTTCTGTCGGCTCTGTACATCAATGCCGACCTATGCTGACAAGTAAGTGAAGAGTAGAAAATATAAAGGAATTGGCTATAGGGAAATTTCCCAGCAGTTTAGGATAATGAAGGTTGTAATCTAATCTATTACATAGCCATTACATTTCCAACTCCTAATGACAGGAAGGCAGAAAGCGCATTATACAAATAATAATACTCATAATAATAGCAGACATATTTTAACAATGACCACAATATCATTATTTTAATAAACCAAATATGAACAATTGAGGAAAATGAGGAAGAACTGATGATTCAAATGTTTTAGTACAAGTAATAATGTAGTTAGTGCATAAATTACTATTGCAACAAATGTGTTAATTTTTTTCATTATAAGTCGATTTTCTTTTGGACGAATGCTCCGGGCCAGTGGTTACAATGGTGGGGCCAGTGATAATACAATTCCACTGGCCCGGAGGGACAGTGGAATTGACCCTTGACCCTTGACCCTTAATGTCTACCCCTGGCTTCCTTTTGACTGTTAGAACAATAAACATCATTGTGTTTAAAAAACAAACAAAAAGAAGTGTAGAGCTGAGAAATGTGATGGGTGCAATAGCGAAGTCCGTTCTGGCACACACCTGAATATGTTCACACATCTCCAACAAACTGAATGCCCATTCATTCTTGATAATATTGTCCCTCAAAATTATTAAAGTCATTTATTATTTCAGGATTTCCCTTCTGTAGTATTTGTTCTTTTCCCTTTCAGGTTCTTCTCTCAAAGTTATATTGAGTATAACCTCAACATTTACCACAAGACTTACAAAATGTGCCAGTTCAGTAGTAGAAGGACCCGTAAGGACAGATCCACGGTGGAGCGTGAAATCAATTCTGAATCTGAATTACTACTGGTTCAAACAAAGTGTGAAGCTACAAACTTGCTTAGGGCTAAGTTGTCTTTGAGCTGTTATTGCACCCTCAGATAAATCTGATATTTATTTGATAACCAAATTTTAATGTCTTGCCAATTGTCGATTGTTAATGAGACTTTTTCTGGACTCCTTAGATTGCGGTTGTGATGGGCTCCTGCACCGCTGGAGGGGCCTATGTTCCCGCCATGGCAGATGAGAGCATTATCGTGAGGAAGCAAGGAACCATCTTCCTCGGAGGACCTCCACTGGTAGGACATCTTTTTGTTGTTAGATTATAAAACTAGGAGGAAAGTTAAAGCATCAAATTGTCTCTTAATCCTGCGAGAGGATTCGGGATTCATAAATCGCTTAAATCATAAATTAAGCACAAGACATATCCTACTAATATCACTTTTTTTGGTAGTAATTTCATTCCAGCTGTACAGTAAAAAGCGACCAGGTTGCAGCCGTTTTAAAAATACTCCACAGATATTTGTGTTTGTTGTTTGTGTTTGTTGAGGAGTTTGTGCTTCTGCTTTTTGTTTTTAGGTCAAAGCTGCAACTGGGGAAGAAGTTTCTGCAGAGGACCTTGGTGGTGCTGATCTTCACTGCAAGTAAGAAATACCAATATTTTTCATGACTTATTATGTATGGGTGTTTGATATCATGGTTCTGCTTTTGGAAAAGTGTTGTTCATAAAATTGCATTAATAAGCTGTTATCAGAATACGAAATCCTGTAATACACAAACATTTCTGACATAAACAATTGTAGACATATTTTGCAGTGGTGCCTTTTTTACAAGCTGGGTTTACACAGAGTAGTTTCACTTAGTGTTATCCAGGGTGTCCGCGGGGTCTTAAAAGGTATTAAAAATGGATAAATTTAGCGTAAATTAAGGCTATTAAAAAGTATTAAACTGCATTTTCCAAGGTATTAAGAAGGTCCACAGTAACGACAACATGAAACACCCTTTAATTTACTGAAACGACATGTCGGGAAACCCCCTCAAGGCGGCCCCATGCATAGCGCGCCGTAAAATGCTGCTTCTTATTTTAAGTTTCGTTGCCTTGCTCCGCTCTGTGGGGCACTAAATGACTACGGTAACAATAACGGGTCCCAAGGTGGGTAGACCGGCACACGCAACGCTCTGGGGGTCCAACGGCTCCGTGTGTAAGCCCTATATGATCAGCCCTGATAACGATGAAATAGCCCGCCTCCCTCTCCCCACGTCTCCTGCTGCTGTTGGGCTGTCAG